ACCACCCGATGCTGAGCAGTCCTTGGACCTCTGTTGCAGAACACGTGTTCACAAATCCCAAGGGTGAATATTAGTTTTTACCCTAGGGTCTTAAAAGTTGACTGTACAAATTTGAATGAAATGTATTTTGGATTTGAGCTGTAGACTACAATTTGTTCTGCAAGTTAAATTCTCATTGTCTCTGTTCTTTGTCTACTTTCTTTAAAGAGGAAGCTCACAGGGCAGGTGGAGGGCGGGACACAGTGATTCTGTCATCTAGAGAAACAGAGCATCCCACGTGCACAGTAAATTATAAAGGGATGAAAGTGATTGTCTCGAGCCACCAGGAAGCTTGGTGAGTTCAACCGGAGAGACTGTGAGTGCCAACTTTCTCACAAGCTCTTCACATACAGATAGTGAAAGGAAGGCATTCAGATTTCAGGTTCATGTTGTACGTTGTTTTTAAAGATCTATTTACTTACCTGAAAAGCAGAATTACAGAGAAAGGAGAGACACAAAGGTCTTCTATATGCTTGGCTACTCCCCAAGGGGCTAGTACTGGGCCAGGAGTCTGGAACTCCATCCAGGTTTCCCCTAGGGGACCATAGAGCACCTGGGCCCTCTTGTGGTGCCTCCCTGGTGCATTCACATGGGGGCTGGATCAGAAGCAGAGCAACTGGGACCCAAACCAGTATTCATACGGGGTTCTGTTTTCTGATAGTGGTTTAACTTGCTGTACCACAATGGTCGCTTCTCCCTCATTTTTAAAACCGGATGTGCTTGTAAGAGAGTTTTTGAAATGATGGGTATATGAGAAATGAGAAGATTCATGTGAAGTTGCTAAGTGGAGATAATCAAAAGGAGGAACCTTGAAGAGACATGTATTTTACATATGTGTCTTCTTGTTACTGTAACGTCTATGAGTAATTTGGAAATGCCACAGGACACCTTGGAAAATAGTGAAGTTTACTAATTCTTGAACTTCTTGTCCTTCATATTTTATAAATAAAATCACTTAGTTTTACCAAAAGGCTAGTATGTTTTCAAGCACAGATACACAGGGTAAGAAGTTCATTAAGAGATAAGTTCATTTTAGTGTAAACAGTTGATCAAATCCAGGCATAGTTTTTTCATAATATGCATTTTCCGTCAGCTTTTCCAAGCATGTGTCCCCAAATGTTTCAAAAAGGACATGTGCAGTCTTGCCGTTTCTAACACCTGTTGCTTTGTTGCTTTCACACGTATCAGTAACTAATTTTTAAAAGGGCTCGCACATCACAGGATCGTATTAGTGTTTCAGTTTTCCATTAAGGCAGTATGCTTTTACCATAGGGTTTCAGAAAGTGGATTAACAGCCTTGAGAAATGAGTACCCCAGTGCTGAAAAGGGCTGAGGTAACCAATGAGGTCTCCGGTGTGAACTAACCCACCCGCAGTGGGAGAAAGTCCAGGTAATGCGTAAACACGAACATATGTCAACATCGTGTGTACAGAGTTATTTCACTTTATCAAAGTGAGTCTGTTCTCCTACCTTAATGCACAATCAACTTTAGTTCGCTGCTTCGTGAAGATGAATTTGAGCTGAAATTTTCACTCTAAAACAAAACAAACAAAACTCTTAATGGTATGAAAGTTAAGAACAGAGGTGTTAAATCACAAGCCACTGGGCGGCCTAATATCCTGCATTATTGGGTAACTTTGTCCTTTTCTTCTTCTTCTTCCTCTTCTTCTTCTTCTTCGTTGACTGCCATGTTACACTTTGCCTTGGAGCCATCCATTTTAGTGATATTAAATTTCCTTTGAGTACTATTTTTATACAATAAGCATCGCTACACCTCTGGATCTTGATAGCATTACTGCGGGAGGAGAAAGCAGCTTTGTGTTCATAATTACCTAACATTGTCAGAAACTGACTGCAGGCCGCTTTCTAGCGATAACAGAATAACCGCATAATGTAGCTTTATAGCGCATGATTAATAGAAAATAATTACACGTCCTACAAAGGGATGCAATATTTCTTGTAAATTGACTAGAATGGTTTCCTGTAGATTAAAGGACTCTTCATTATTTTATCAGTCCCTCCTGAAGCACAGTCACTCGCCTGCGTTAGCATTTCGGTGGCTATGCACAGCCGAGCAGGGCGAAGGATACCAGATGGCAGAGCCTCTCCTACCTGGGATGTCCTGTGCCCATAAAGATGATGTGGTACTTCCTAACCTTTCGGGGATGCAGATGGCATCCTGCTAGGGCCTGGCTCTTTTTGTTTTCTGTTTATTAACAAGATAAAACGTGGAAGAGTTTTTTTTTTTTCTTTTTTTTTTTTTCCACGTTTCACCTGTGACTTTCTGGAACCATCCATAATTGGCATATTCTTGTATCAATTGTGAGTCCCCTATCATTCGTAGGGATTCTGCTTGTTTGGGGCAGCCAAGGAGAAAGGCAAAGCTGGGCAGATTTTCTGCTTCCAAAGGGAACCTAGTGTGGTACTGAGTCTTCAGGCCCAAGTTTAGAACACTGTACTCCAACCAGCGTTTGCATTCCAATTTATAGGCTGCAAATGGTTTAATTGGGATTCATGGTGCTCCAGAGGCTCGTACAGAGCACGGTAATGATCAGAGGAAAAGCCCCTGTGTTTGCAGTCTCCTCAACAGACTCTAATGGCTGCTGTGTAAACCCATAAATTTGCCTCTTCGAGTCTTACCTCCCTATATTTTATCTTATCTCTTAATTCCACACAGGAGTATTCTATGGCGTTCTTTATGAATGCGAAGGAATAAATAGTCTTGCTTTTATTTTTACCTTTTTCTGAATTAGATCTGCGATGTACTTTCGTGTGAGGTATGTTTTTCAGCGATTTAAAATGAAGTGAATGGTTTAAGAACAGCTTTAATCTAAAACTTCTATTCCTCCCTCAACTGCTACTTGTAAGGCTGGCGAAGCCCCCCGCCACTCGTGCTTTCTGTTCAGTTACTCTTTGTGAAGTTGCTGTCCGTTTGTAGCGGATGTTGTCTCTCAGAAAGCTCCACAAATGGGAGCAGGCTTTCCGAGCAGGGTGGAGATGGGCCCTCAGTTGATAGTGCGAGACAGTCACCACAGCAGAACCCGGTCTAGTTCTAAGGACATTGAGGCATGCTTCTGGGAGCAGGTTCAAGTCACCAATCTGTCCTTCTGTGCGTGTGTTCTGCGGCTTCCCTGGGAAGAGAGGATGGGCTAGTTCTTGAACTCTTAGCTTGGCCTCGGGTCAGAGCTCCCACCTGTTAATGCTTACAGAGCAGACCTTGGGGCCTGTGGAAGGTTCTGTACGTTTGCTTTGTTAAGTATAAGGATCTAATTGCACTCATCACCTTCAGAATTGCAAAGGGCAATTTAATTTAGGTATCCGTTAGGAAGTAACGGTTGTTGATCCTAGCTTCCCAAGATGGATCCATTTTAAAGCACGGTCATTGTCCCTGAGGGCCGGACAGGAGCCCATTCTCCTTGGTGTTGTCCACTATGTCGGCACATCAGTGACCCTGTGAACCTGATGAGCCCTGGGGCCACTGCCACCGGCCGGAGCCGAGCCTCTGGAGGGGCAGTGGACCCTGTGACCCCTCCTTCCCCCTGCCACCTCTGCTGCGTTGTTCCTGTAAACCCAGTCCTGACACTGCCCGCGATTTTGAGAAAAAACACCAATAGATTTCATCTTATAATCTCTCTATTGATAGATTCTGTTGGTAGATCAATACATGCTAATGCTGCCACACCAGTATCGATACTGAAGAAGTGTATAGTGTACTAATCAATACAAACAGTAACCCTGGGCTGGTGCTAACATGCCCTCCCACGTATAACTCAATATGCATATGCACATCTATCTATGACTCAGATGTTGGAAAAACCATAACCTATTGAATTACATTGGGATTGATTTAAAAAATTTTTTATCTTATATGAAAAATTGGATTTGAGTCCTGTAATGCTTTTTGTGTAGAGTATTGCTTTTCGGAAGGTATGATTCTTAAAACTTGTAATTCACTTTACTTTGTATGTATTTCACTCCACATTAAATATGTTTGCGCTCCAATCCCATCCGTCAGTCTGGCAGACCTGGGAGACCGATCTGGAATCATTCACAAGGCCTCCAGCACTGCTGTGTCTGTCAGTGTGGGAGAAGCCAGGGACCAGGAGGACCAGAAAGGGCTGTTGGCCTCAGGTCACAAAGTAAACGCAGAAACGACTCATCCATCACTCTGTTTCATAGCCGGATTACTATTTTGCCTTATGAACTCGAGATGCTTTCCCTTTCTTTTGATTTTCTGCTGGGGGGTGGGTCTGTCCCACCTCTCAACCCCGGTGCCACTCCTTCACTGGAGGAACCATGGCGTCTCAGGGCTGCGATTTCAGAGGACTCAACTCAGGAAGTAGGTTGTAAAGCAGTTGTCTGTGTACCACTGGATGCATCGGTGTTCACTGATGCTCTAGTAATTTCCCTGCTGAAAATGTGCCTTTCAGATTTTCTTAAGACAGGGTACGTACGCCGTTGCATTCCGAGTCATTGTCAGAGGCAGGAGTTTCATTAGACAGGAACTAGTTTGTTGTGACAAAGAAACCTCATCTTGGGTGGAAGCTAAGCGTCCTGCAGGCAGATGCACTGCCTGGAGTCCTGGGTTTAACCTGCTGGCATCTAGCCCTGCCAGGAGCCTGCAGGAAGTGTCCCCAGGCTTGGGTGCGGGGGACACGGTGCACCCACTCTCCTCGGTGACTTCATTTCCCAGGTTCTTGTCATGAGGGACTGTTGTTGCTTTCTGCGCCCAGTCACCAGCAGGCTTTGTGGTAGATGTTAATTTAAGTCGTTGCCTAACAGCATTTTTAAAGTGTCCAGAAACAAACAAACAAACAAACAAAAAGATGAAAATGTTTCCATTTGCAGCCCAAAGCCCTTGTAACTTTACAAAAAGAAATAGCATTTCTGAGAAGTTGCATATAAACGACATTGTACTTATGCCCGTCTAAAGGTTAATACTGCATATTGTTTTCAATTAGGAATACAATAGATATGGCTGGTGGGTAGGAGAAATGAAAGGAGCCATTGGCTTGGTGCCTAAAGCCTACATAATGGAGATGTATGATATTTGAGAGTCCCGGGTAAGTACATTTTAATCCAATATTCTGTAATAGCTCATATGTTCTTTTAGTTATGATTCTTTGCCTTTTTAAGTCTTTGTAAATATTTTTTGATAATACAAAGATTATGCCCTGAAATATTTTGTTGTTGTTTTGCTTGATCTTTAATTTTTAAAGTAACTTCACAGAATTTACTATGAAAATAATTTTAAAAAGTTCTTTTGATAATAACCGGCTGTTTTCCCAAACCGCCTCCTCTTTAGTAAAATATCACTTTTATGGCCTTTCTAAGAAGCTAAGTTGACAAAATATTCAGCAAACATTTCATCCCCCTTTCCCGGCTAAAAGTGTAATTATTTTTTTTTTTCCTGAGCAGGGAAAAAAAGTCAGCATTAAGACTGATGAAAAAAAAAAACAACAACAGAAATGCAACTTTCTGTTTCTGCCTGCAGAATACTTTGAAATGAGAACATCGTGGAGGCACGGATGACGCATCCTGGACCTCGCTGTGTTGGGCAAACATTCCTCGACTGTTTGCGTGGTTGTTCATTAAAACATTCCCCCAGTGTGAAATTAAGAGGGGGTATTCATGTAGATTAGATAAAAGCAGTGAAGTTATACTTGTTGCTATTTTGCAAAGAAATAATTACAGTTTGTAATCTGCCCGTTGGTTTGTGTGAGGTTAGGAATCCGTCGCTGCTTCGTGTTACACTAGAATCTCTGCACCTCCTGTGTCAGCCATACTTTCTCTTAATCGTTGGATATGCTTTAGTGTGTAATCTGCAATTTCAAAGAAATTTAAATTTTATGGATAAAGCAACTTTTTGGTAGACGCCAAAGAATTGGCATCTATTGGCATTTTGTAGCTGATTTAAAAAAATTTTTTCTGCAAAATATTAGCATGTCTTCACAAAAGCAGTTTTATAAATTGGTGAAGTTACATCCTACCAAAGAGAGCCGTAAGAAAGAACAGAGTGCTAGGGTCGGTGTGGTGCTGTTACCTGCCGTTCAAGTGCATGGTGGAACCGGGGCTGGTCTGTGCAGAGCTTCACCGATGACACATGATGGGCTCGCCACCATTTCCTGCTAGAGTTCTGCTTATGTTGAAAGCAATAAAAATGTTTCTAAGAGACACTATCCTACTAATAAAATATCCTACTAATAAAATATCCTACTAATAAAATATTAGAAAGAATCAACTCAGGGAAGGCGTACCCCAGCATTTGTTTACCCTGCCTCCATACTGTTGTGCTGTAAGAATCCTGTCGTGAATCAGTGCACTGGCATCTACCGCAGTGCTGACCTGTGCCAGCAGGTGGGAGGCGGGCACAGCCCCACATTTGGGCTCCAGGGGGCTGTGCTGCCTAAGCAAGTCTTACAGCAGGGCCTTCTCCAGCACTTTTGGAATCAGAGGTTGTGTAAGTTCATGCTTAGCCGTTCACATCATCATCTCACAGTACACACTGGTGACCAGAGCTCTGCTTCATAAAGGTTGTGACCGTGCGAATGAGCTACTGATGTTTTAAACCTCAAGTATTTATTTGAAGCTATTAACAAGCAGTAATCCAGACTGTCCATTTTAGCATTATATACCATTAGCCCCGTGGCTAGTTTCAAATGTAAAAAACCAAACAAAACACACCCAAATCTCAGGGATGGGAAGTAAATTCATTTATGTATGTGGACATTGTCAGGTTAGAGTTTTCTGAGATCCATCTGTTCAAGGAACCTTGTCCCTTTAAGGCACCACTGAAATACAGTGAACCCATCCAGGCTCAAGTCAGACTGGCGAAGCCCCTGCAGGTGGATGCCTTTCCTGCTTCCGGGTTCACAGGGGTGTTCCGCACCAGGCCAGTAGATGGCAGCAGCTTTTCATCGCTCGCAAAACCATTTGCAGCCCCTCCCCCACACAGATTCAGCTTGGCCCAGAAGGTAAAGCAGAGTAGATTCCTGCCTCGTTTTGCAGTTAATCCAGGAGAGGGAGTCCTTCGCCAATGGATGCCCGGTGATTCCAAGGCAACCAGGCTCTGGGGACAGGGACAGTACAGAAAGCAGGTGGTACTTGGGCCCAGAGCTCCCCTGGCCTTTGTTCTCTATAAACCCGAGGTTAGGTGGGAGATGCCCGAGGGGAAACAAAAGATGTCCAGCTGGACTGACGGAGAATAACCTTGGCCTATGACTCCTTTATCTTCGCAGAGGGGAATCAGCCACAAACTAACAGGGAGAAAGTTTTCTTTGCACCCTTGACAACATATCACACACACTCGTCACGATCATAATAATGTTATTAATGTGAAGTCAGGCAACACAGCTTGTTAAAAAAATATGCTAATTGCTATGTGCTCATTATGTTTGCTTAGCATTTATTTGTTTTCTTGCGAACAGTTAGCTCATTTTTTTCCAAAGGTGATTGTGAGTCATATTTTATATAGCATTTTGCTTGATTATTTGCTCAGTACTGAATTTGTACTGCATTGCCATTAGATCTTACAATAATGTTCCACTCTGCAAATTTTTAAGGTTCAAATAAAGTTTAATTGTTTGCAAACTGTTATGATGCTAATAATTCAACAGCCTGCTGTGTTACTAATGAAATTACTTTGTTATGATTAATTTGGAAAATAGTGTGTTGATTGTAGTAATTAGGCACAACAAGGTGAAGTAAATGATTCTAATGCCATCTGGCCTGCAAACTGAATGAAGAAATGAAATAGGGCTGTCATGTGAATGTGTTCAAGGAAGGAAGGGTGATACAAATGGCTTTCATTGCTACTGCATTTGCACTTAACCACAGCTCACTCCGGTCTGTTCCTGCCACTTTGCTGCCTCTGACACTTTGTCTTAGGAAAAAGAATGTGGTGGAGTCCAGCAGTCATTCTGAATGCTGTATTTTAAGCTGATAATTTTTTCAACTGTAATTTAATTACAGATCATCACATCAAGTGTTAAGAGCATCATAGAAAACCACTTTTCCGACATTTGTGGGTGAAGTCTATGTGTCGGGAGGGGTCTGATGGCCGTCACAGCACAGACACCGACATCACCTTTCACAGCAAGCACAGCTCTGTCCAGGGATGGCTGACCTGTTAGCTGAGGCTTTGTCACAGCGCCAAGGACTTCTGCCATACCCACCATGGCCACCATGGCCACCATGCCCACGAGGCCCCGCTCCCGTGCTGCTCACCTCATGGTCATCATTAGACACAGACCCAGTTACAGGTAATGGGTTCAGATTAGGGAGTTCAGCCACTAGAAGCAAACTGACACTACGGTATGTGTAGTTTAAAACCCTGAACCTCGTCCGTGAGACCAGGTGAAGTACTGTGAGGATTTTTTGAGCTAAGAAGAGTTTTGATGAATTTCAAATCAGACTGCAGACGCAATCCACTTAGAAGAACATTGCTTTTATTTCCCAATAGGCCAATAAGACTCAAGAATATCCTAGAAGTTATAGAGATTGAAACGCAATCCGGCCATAGAAAACACAGCTTCACTCAGAAGTTGAAGGAAATATATATTTTAAGCATATGTATAAAATATTTAGTATATTAGTTTAAAATCAATGTGTAGTTTTTCATGATACACATTTCTATAAATATTCTAAAGACCCTACTCCTTATACAAATGGATTCAAACATTTTTAACACCAAAGTAGATTGACATTTTGGTTTCATTTTTCACACATTTTGAAAATAGTTGTGTGTGCGCATGGCAAAAAGATCATGCTTCGTATTCCAACAATCCCATATCATATCCTACCAAGTCCCAGCTCCACTGTTTTTTAAAGGATATGTGAATATGTCTTTATTTTTAAAAGATTTCATTTATTGAAACATCAGATATACATAGAGGAGGAGAGAGAGAGAGGAAGATCTTCCATCTGTTGATTCACTCCCCAAATGGGTGCAATGGCTGGAGCTGAGCTGATCCGAAACCAGGAGGCTCTTCCGGGTCTCCCACATGGGTGCAGGGTCCTAAGGCTTTGGGTCATCCTTGACTGCTTTCCCAGGCTACAGGTAGGGAGCTGGATGGGAAGTGGGGCTGCCACTGGGACACAAACAATGTCCATATGGGATCCCAGCACGTGTAAGGTGAGGACTTTAGCCACTAAGCTACTGTGCTAGGGCCCTAGCTCTACTTCTAATTCTATCTTTCTGGAGGACTCAGAGAATTGGGTCCCTGCTGTGCACATAGGAGACCTGGATTGAGTCCCAGCACCTGGCTCCAGTCTGGCCCCAGCTTGGTGAGAGCTTAAATCAGAGAGTGTCTCTGTGTGTCTCCTCCCCTCTGCCCTTTGAGAAGTAAAATCAATCATGAATGCTTCAAAAGCAGCTGTTTAAGATGGTCTCATGTACCAATGAGGTCCTGAGTGTTCAAAATGTTGGAGAAACAAGTAGAGAATTATCAGAAGGATCTTTCTGGAAGCTGGACACTTCAGTGCACTGCTGTTCTGCCTCAGATTGAGAGCAAGGGAATTTTGGGCCTCCCCAGCTTTAGCTCGTTCATCACTCACCTCCTGCTGTGTAGTTGAGTTTGTCTAGAATCTGTTAGAACTCCCAGTAGTGTAACATTTTGTTATGATGAGATAAATACTTATAAAATTATATGATCACAGTCACAGGGTTGACATTTCATTAATGCCGTGTTTGAGGGGCCTTTCCCTGCTTTTATTAGCAGAAACTGCTCTTTTGTTACTTAGATACAAACGTGTGATTTATTGCCAGCCTCGTACAAAGTGTATGGTGTGCATCCAGTCAATATTTGCTAATTAACTGACTTGGCATCCCATAATACCTCCAGACCCAGGATTTGAGCAAGAACGGACCTGACTTTCCTCCTGGGTGGAAGAAAACACCTTTGTGTACTTGGTCCATCTGCTTCATGATGACAGTGTTCTATTAAAAAGAAAATCCTGTTCCTTTGAACTGAGGCTTTAAACCAAGTCTGCATAATAACCGTCATCAAGTGGATAGGTAGGATGCAATTGTTGGGAACAGAATCTGGGGGCAGAGGTGAGAAAGTTCCTTAGTGAGAAAGTTCCTTAGCTGGTCTTCCTTGTCCAGTGGCAGACTTTCATGCAGGGATACAGGCAGCTTGGGGCAGGAGATGCAGGGCCAGTGGGCAGGACTCTAGGGCCATAGCTTGGGCCAGGTCATCTGGGAAGCTTTCTATCTCTCCCCTTACAGGGACCAGAAAAAATTTCTGGAAGTAGGAAGCCTCACATCTGCTACCAAATCCAACCATAATCCAATTCACTTCCATTTTTGTACCTTTTTCCCCGCCTCTTCATGCTGTTTTCTTGAAAGTGATATTGATGAGGTTGACTTGCATGCTCTGAGTTGCCAAGATAAAAGGTAGCGTAAAGGCAGAAGGGAGCTTGAGGCACTCCTGGGCTGTGATGTCGGGAAAGAGGCCAGGAGAGAGCCAGGGCAGCAGCCGGTGAGTGTGCGAGCCTGGGGATGGACACGGCCCCCAAGCTCCCCTCCCTCAGGGCCTTCCTGGAGGTGGACCTGGCCATGTCCATCCCTAGGTTTTGCCATGCTCTGTCTTTATGGTTTTACTTATTATCTATTTGTTGTTATCTGTTACACAGGTAGTAGAGTGCCCTCCTTGCCTGTTTGCTGTCCTTAAGTCCTAGGGTTATAGGTTACCCAGCCAGCCACCTTCCTCCCAGTTTCAGCCGCATTGTTCTGTGCTGGGAAGAATTCACACTGAATGCCAACTTCTGTTCGAGGCATACTGTAGGACCCAGCACGTGCACGCTGACCGCTGAGGATGCCACTGTGTCTGTAGAAGAGTTGTAAAGGACAGTCCAGCAACCGAGAGCTCTTGTGTGGTGACCACATCAAAACTGAGGCAAGCTCAGCTCTCCTGGAGGATCAGTGTCATGCAGGACCACCTCTGTCTGTGAACTTCCAGCCCAGCTAACAACAGGAAGTCAACCCAGGCAGCAGGATAGAGTGGAACAAGGAGGCCAAGGGGACTTGTCTAAGTGGGGACACGAGCCAGCCCTGCAAGGCTTGAGGACCTTTAGAAGTGACAGCTTCTGTCTCTAACAGGTGCTGACCAGAGGGTGAATGTTCATGGATAGGTTTTAGAGAACCAGTTTAAAGGATGATTATCAAACTGTTGAGCCCTTAAGCAAACTTCCTTATAAAATACACAGTTGTGTATAATTTTGTGGCTGAGTGATTATAGTGTCTGACATAGGCTTTTACTTATTGAAATTAAGAATTTGTTGAAGACTTTTTGGCATAACCAGAACTTCTGAACCTAAACTTCTTACTGAACATTAACTGGACGCGTCATCTTATCCTTGAGTACCTGTGTGGTGCCTTGGAAAAGAGATAAGTGAGGACTCACTCCCTCCAGGGCTCTGGCATTTAATCAGAGAAGCGAGGTAAAATGGAGCTCTCTCGTTGTCAGAAATACACTGGCCCAAGAGAAAAGGGTATGCTGCAGGTCACTCTCCAAGGGGCGATTCATTCCAGGTGGTTCTCTGAAACCCAGAACGCAGGCACCTGGCAATACGGTGCCCCTTCAGCCATCCACCAGATGCATCTTGTTGGTGTGAACTAACTGGTCCTGCCAAGATGGGTCCCCGGGCTCAACCCAGCTCCCAGAGCAAGCACTGTGGACCCTGCATCCTGTCTCCCTCTCTGTCTGGCTTTTCCCTGAAGCTAAGGGACAGGAGGCAGGCGACCCTGTGATTCTTATTGCTGCAGAGTTGCCATCATCAGCTACACCTGCTCTTGCATGTGAGCCCAGCAGAAGGAGGCATGTCCCTGCCGGCGTGTCCTGCTATAGGCATCCTCCTGAGTGGGAAAGCAGGAACTCAGCTCTCTTGGGAGCATGCTGGTATCTGTTGCTTTGCTTCAGTTGGTCAGCATATTTGCTTTGTTCTTTATTGTCATCTCAGGGCTTGCTATTTCTCTTCCTATAATTAAATGATTCTGTTTTTGAATAATTACATCCAAGTGGCAACAGTGTGCCAGGGGCATTTCATGTATAGAATTTGACACAGCTTTTCCCCAGTAGATTTGTGGTCTAAATGAAGAGAAAGAACAGCCTCAGTAGCCTCATCTTGGGGCAGTCCTTAGCCAGTGAAGCTGCTGATGGTGTGGCTTTTAGAGAAAGGTTCTCTGGTTTTGTTACATCTGAAGCTAGGAGGTTATTGGAGAAACAAACTGGAAATTTTTTTTTTTCATAGGGAAAAGGTACAAAAGTTTGGTATTGGTTCAGATGAGAAGATTGGATTGTACAAGATGTTAACAATGTCTAAAATGTCTGTAGTAACTGAATGAAGCGTGATGAGAAGCCAAGGGCTGTGTGCTTAGATAAAAGATGGGATCTTTTTACAGACGTCGTACTAATTATGAGAAGCAAAATTTTAGAAGCTCAGCGATGCCCTATCTCTTCAGGAAGGAAAGACTCCTTCCCTTCGACTGGCAATAGTAAAAGTCAGTAGAAGGAAAATTACAGGAACTGGAGTTCCCTCAAACTCGAGGTTTGTTCTGCATCACCTTGTACCCTCGAGTGGGCCGTCAC